AAGAATATATGGAAGTTAATAATATTATTTATTTATGTCTTCACGCATGAAGATATATTCTACACAGATGCGGGTGATAAAATTACCGAATGAAATGCTAGGTACACGCAGATATAGAAGCAATTACCAGGGCATTCAAATTCAAGTTATTGAAAGGAACGTGCAAATCATGTGAAGAAAAAATAATTCGTAAATTTGACACTATATAATAAAACTTATTCACATTTTGGATTAATTTTACCTTCAATTCATACATCAATGCATTATAGATATTCCAACACCTATTGATTTATATCTCAAGATAAATAAAGGGTAAATATTAGAAAAATATGTCCCCCAAAATCAACAGATAATTTAGAATCGAGACAATCATTTGGAAGGGTTTGTAGTTAATAAAAAAATCTTATAAGATTAGGCCAATTATTTGGCCCATTTCATTTTTTTTAATTGTTAACTTATATTGGGTGGCCCAAATTTCTTCATTGGGTCCGCCCTTGATTCTACATATATAATGGTATGTCCGATCGCCATTGATTCTACATATATGATGGTATGTCTGGTACGTTAAATTAGATAAGATTCACAAATTTTTTGCAGTTTGTTTTCCTCAATTGTGTTCAATTTTCTTGGTGTGAACATCAGCACCTTCGTCAGGTATGGTGGCCTCAACCAGCAATTCATAGGCACCGCATAAGCAAAAGTACGATGGGCCAAATTACTTAGTCGAGACCCCAAACATAGCATAATGTATCAAAACACGAACATATCGAGCTATACGCTTTCCTACGTAACACAAATATGTTGGAGTTGGCTTCGGGAACTTACCTTCAATTTGGAGCCCATGAGTAGATGTGGGAAGTGAACTTGTACCCACGTCAGTGAGTTCATTACCGTCTGCAAAAGTTGAGGACAAGGCATTCATTAGTAGCTAGTAAGTGTACACATCATTAAAATTTGTGCAATACAAAACTTATCGGCCACCTCCGTCGTAGCATGAGTGGAAGGAACTTTGGCATTGTCTGGGCACGGCACTTTGGGCTCCATCCCTTTTCCAAGTACATGAAAACAAAATAGTAATTATGTCCACAATACAATACGAGCTATGGAGAGGGTAGTACAATACAAAACGACATATTTCCTTATAGCAAATGCACATAACGTTAACATCTTGCAGGTAGGTACTCGACGAACCCCCATAGTCATTCGGGAACGGGTTGATGCCTCCTCTATCCGAGAATGTGTGGATGCCTCCTCCAACTATTTCAAAAGATTTGGAATGACGTGGAGGAGTCCAATATTAACAAAATGTAGCAGGAATCAAATGAGATGAATAAAAAAAAAGTTCTCATAATGAATGCAATTACCAGTCTCCTCCTGGCTCATCTGGGCAATGTCCCGTCACGGTCATCTGGGTCTGGGTCGATGGCTCCTCCATGTATATCTATGTCACAAAAGTAGTATTGAAAACATGTCAGCGAATGTAGTACGGGAAATGCTAAAATCACGTTACACTTAGTAATCTTAACTCCTAAACAAGTAACACACATACCTTACGGTAAAATTCCTAAATCTGTGGGCTCGTTATAAACGTCATGCGGGGCTGTTGTGGCGGTAGTACCAGATGAGGGCACGACTGTAGATATGACCTCTCCTGGTCTTGCAAATTCGGCATTCACGTGCTCGATGATTACAAGTTTAACGGTCCGGAGACTCATTTCCATGAGGATTCGTTGATCCAACAACATTTCCTCGACATCCGCTCTTGTCAGGCTTGCTTTAGAAGTGGCACCTTGTCGTCTAGATGTTAATGGTGTACTATCGTGAGAAGTATGTATTGTCGTGTGCGGAGTGGAAAACACACCCATATGCCCGTCGCGATTATGCTTAGCGGCCCTGTCTCCACTCTCGCCATCTCTGGATTCGTCATCATCGCCATCTCCATTGTTATTAGAATTGGACTCGCCACAATCACTAGCCGACGGCCCCTTGAGGTCATCTGCACTGGACTGCTCATCCTTGGAGCCTCCATTGGACTCATCTTCATCGGCTTCCCCCATAGATGAATGATTATGACCTCCACTACCCAATGCTTCTGCGGTAAACTGTGGAGCAACAATGTTTCGAGCAATGTCTCGTCCAAAGTGGGCACGCAACGATCTTCAAACGGCACGAGAGTGGAGATATGTAGTTGGGCATGCTTGTGCAGCTACGAACACAGGAAAATGGCATTAATGAAAAAGTATTGTGCGCAGTAGCAAGAATAATGGGTATGGGTACGTTCAACCAAAAAGAGTACCTATGTGTTCATAAAGAACGCATCGCACGTACGATGTTACGGTTGTTTTGTAGCCATCCAATGAAGAAGCCTTGGCGATCGTCCCCAAGCAGCTGAGCAAACCATTCTCCAATTTGTCGTAGCAGAAAAGCATTGTCACGTGATATCGCATGGGCATGATAATATATGTACATCAAAATAATATAATACAATATTTAAAATAATGGTTCGTACCTGTAGGGCGATGAGAAAACCATGAACTGTGTAGCTGATCTCTTTCTCCTTTTTTCTCTTGGCGTCGCGAAATTTTCGTGCCAACCACCCTGAAATCCCCTCAACAGACGAGTTTATCCAACTCTACCCCAAGGGTAGGAAAAAAATAAGTCGAGGTCGTCGACGATTGACAATGTCGATGCACATATATCCACATTATTATCCATAGCGTAGAATACTCCTTTGACAATGAGAGTAAGCCTGAGCTTGTACTGATCAGCCCTGGGCGTCGACGATCGGAGAAAAGTCTTATCAAGTTGGGCGCATGAAATCTATGTGATTTTTTGAAAAATTTGTTAAAATTTTATCAACTTTTGAACTGATTGAACTTCAACTTACCACACATTTTATGAGATTTATAACTTTTATCAATTTTTTAACCCTAAATTTCATTGACTTCTATCAAAATCTTCTCAACCTTTTATGAAAAAGTTGTCATACAAGCAATATATTGATTTCAACCTATTACATTAGGACAAATTTAAGTATATCTCATTAAAATTGAATAATGCTATTTTGCCAAAAAGTAAGTGACAGATAGTGACATAATATGTGTTGACAAGATGTGATTGGATGAAAAAACTGACTGTATTTTAAACACTCAAATAATAGATTGTCATACGAAATTAGGTCAATGATTATTTCAATCATAATGCCTATGTAGCATGATTGCTAAAATTATTCATTTCGTGATTAGGCATGCTCTCGTACTTCTTTGAGAGAAGTTCTATCAAATGACACCATGGAGGACATGTTCTATAAACATTTGTTCACTGCATGCTTAGTAAGTAGTTGATGTCATTTTACATTAACTGTGTGTTTGATGGATATTATTGGGGAAAGAATGTATTTTAAATAATAATATGATAGGAAATATATAGTTAAAAAGTAAGGAAAAATTATTGATGTGATGAAAAATATTATTTTATTGAAAAATGTGTGTTTGAAAATGAGTTTTGAAAAAATGTAGTTTGAAAGAATGTGTATCAAACAGAAACTAAGATTATACCACTATAAATTGATTTGTCCTACCACTATAAATTGGTATATGTACATTTTACAAGGCTATGTTTGATAGTCTATATTTTCCATGGAATTTTCCATTTCCATGTTAAATACTTGTTTATTGGCATGGAAAATTCTACCCACGGCCCCACTCACCACCCACGCGCCCCTTTTCTCTCTTTTCAAGCTTCTGGCCTTTTTTTTTTTTTTTTTTTTTTTNTTGCAATGGTAACAAATTTCATAACCAAATGTAAAAAAAAAATCACTTCAATGAACAATTTTCATATAAAATAAAGTCAAACGTGAACAAAAAATCCAAAATTTTAAAATTTTTCAGGTGGAAAATTATACCAATCAAACACACTTAATTAACAATTCCCTGAAAAACAAGTTCTAGACAATTAGGTGATGTTCTCTTCGTGTTTCAGTTTTGAATTTTGTATTTTGAGTGTTCGTTTTCAAATTGCTGAAATTGCGTTCTTTTTGTCATTCTGAAAAACTGTTTTTCAAAACAAAAAAATGAAAAACGCGTTTACTTTGAAATTTTGAGAATATTTTTTTTATAATATTTTATTCAAAAAATTTGATTATTCAATAAATTTTAATAATTTAATGTTAATATAGTATTAAATAACATATAAATTTTGAAGTTGGTGAATCTTAAAATATTCTTTTAAGATATAAAAAACACAACTTAAATTAAATTTGGCAAAACAATTCAATCGATACAATTAGAAGTTTATATGTAATGACAAAACAAACAGATACTGTACAAAACCAGGACAAAAAACGTTTGAAGGAACGGAAGGTGTCACATGGAAAATGTCTGTACATGCACGAGCGTGTTTATATATATGGATAGGATTGTGAGAGAGGGGAGGGGGGAAGACAGAGAGGCACTAAACATGGGGTGTAATTTTTTTTTTTTTTTTTTGAGAAGAATATTAATATATATAGAACAATACTACAGCCGCTAAATAACACATAATTTGCACAAACTATACCCATGTTGCAAAAGAGAAATGTAGTCAAGTTTACAACATAACACAAAAAGAGGGAATTCACTCTCTCTCTCTATGGATAATAAAGAGAAGAAAGAGGATGAGCACCCTTTTTATAGCGTTTCTTCACTCCTTCCTTCGTCCAATCTTCGACCTACTGATATCACAAACTAACTGGCAATCGAAGCTTATAGCAAGTTTTGGAAAAGAGAAAAAAAAAAAGCACAGAAGACTTCCAAGACTAAATCTTGTATAGATGCACAATTCTTGCACTATGAATTCACATAAGCTGTGAACTTTTTACGTGGCATCTCTTGTTTTCCTTATCTTAGACGAGAGTGTAACTTGAGACTGAGACCTCCGCTGGAGAAGCAGAGTGAATATACACAAACTCAATGCTTTTTCCCGCAGGCAATGAGTCGATCCATGCTGGGAATGAATAAGAATCACTGAACTTCATGAGAACCCATATAGAGCTTGGAAATCGAAAGCTTCAAATTTTTCAAGGTCTTGGGAGACTTATTGGTTACCATTGTGGAGTATCTGTAGTAAGTTTTTCCTTTCGCAACCCACGAAGTTGTCTCCTTTTGTGCAATGTCAATAGGGCTGGCAGATGAAGCTGTAGCTGGTGTTATTTCAGGTTTTGGAGCTGCTTTTGGCAGAGTATTAACCGGTTTAAGTGCTGGAAGTTCCACTGGAAGGAGCTGATTGTACCCATCGTGACCACCTTGTAGCCTTGCCAATAAGCCCAAAAGGGGGGGATTGTTGTAGGTAGCAGGTTCAGTTTGTTCATAGTTGTCTCTTTGATCAGCAAAGTCGTCATAAGCATCAGGTCCTCCAACAAGTGCACCGGTAAGGAGATTTGGGTCCCTTCCCTTCCTGCTGAACCATGTGGCATACCCTCCAAAGCATGTGTTGAAAAGAACTATAGTTTTGATTCTTTTGACGTACACATTTGTCAAAGAAACTAAAGCAATGCAGATCATATTCAAAGATGAAGGGAAAACCATGGGTTGGGGGGTGGGGGGGTGGGGGTGGGGTTTAGATTATCGGGCAATCTCCCATAATTCCCATCACACTCTTATCGGTTACAACCATAATCATTAAAAAATGCAAAAGTTGAACCCCATGCGTAAAAGAAAAAGTTTTTCCAATAGCGTAAGCAATATGAGGACAGGAACTCAACCATGCTCACAAGTCACAACCTTGAGCTCCCAACCTGTACAGCACATTAGAAGCACTACAAACACTGAGACGATTTACATTCAGACGACTAGCATACTTAATCAAAATCTAAGCCTACTAGCATATACAAAATAACATCTCCAAAGAAAAAAAATGTTGTGAAATGCACCATAAAGACAACAACAAAGAAGACGAAGACGGTGATATTGATGAAGGATGTCAAAGATCTTGCACGGTTTACTCAGATGTGTGGCCAACATATAAAGCAGTAAACCAAAGCATATACTTTGAAATCAACTAAACAAGTTATGTCACTCAGCAATTTCTTACACTAAATCAATCTCCCTTTTCCTTGGATTTTTCAACTTGAACTTAAAGTCAGCCACTTTGCATTATTTCAGTACATTATAAAGTATATGACGGTATACAAAGAGCCAACTGCTTGCATTATCATAGAGAATAAAGGTTGATAATGCAGATGTTATGAAAACCTTTAATTCAACCACCACATAAGCCTGTTATTCAAGGTAACAAAGTACTTGACATGTTGTGTTTGGAGACATAAATTAGGGCCCCAATTACTATTAAAAAAACAAATGAAACTTGAATAGTATTCAGTCTATCTATTTGTAATTTCAAGGTCAGAACTCTATGGCCCCAGATTTGGCATCACTAAGTATTCATGTATTATCAAATTGCTTCAACCCTTTCCTTGTTTTGTTTCATTTCAATCTTTCCGTCCCCCAATCACTTTTCCAGACTCTTAATTCCAAGAATTTTTATAAAAGAATTCACTGATCAATAACTAAAACTAGAATTCTCATGAGCTATTTCTTGACAACCCTTTTAACACATTTAGACCGTTAAAGGAGGGAGAAAGAAACAAACTGGAAATTGGAAAATGGGGAAAAATAAAGGCAAGAAACGAGGACATAAAGGCACAGGTAAACAAACCCAAACAATTACTACTATCAACACGCACAAGTTTGTATCCATAGAGACGGAAGAAAAAAAATAGAGAATTGAGGACAATACCTTAGAAAGAATTGAGGGATCTTTCTGGGTTGTGGGTACCTGAGATTGGAAATGGAAAATCAGTGGAAGGTTTGGATTATGGGTACCTGAGATCGGAAATGGAAAATGAGCCGAGATGGGAGAGAGAGGATAAGACTTAAGTTGTTTCCCGTGTTTTTTGAAAGTAACCGTGTTTTGGCTTCAAAATGACCAAAGCGTGATTTTGGTCTTTTTTGTTTCCAGTGCAATTTTTTTTCCATTTTCAAAATCACGTTTTCGAAGATAGGAAAGAAAACGCGTTTTCACTGTTTTAAAAAATCGAACACAGAAAATGGCTTGAAAACGGTAAAGGGAACAAGGCCTTATTTTTCTGGAATTCATTTTATTTCCACACTTACAATCAAACGGACCCTTATTGTTCAATTCCTTTAATTCAAATGTAAATAATGGATGATAGAGAATGCTATTCAAGAGAGGAAAGGCATCTTGTGAACCAAATATTGCAAGCCAATCCCAAAACAAAACCCAACCACCCAATCTTCCCTTCCCCAACTAGTACTCCTCCGGTGAAGGCGCCCACAAATGTTCTGCCACACCTGACCAGTCCCTCCTCTAGAGGCCCCTCAGCATACAGCGTCTCTCCATCCGGCTTCTTGAAGAATGCTCTTCTCCCACATATGGCAGGGATTAAACTCTAATCTCAATCCCAAGAATCATAATGAACTCAACTAAGTGCTTGTTTGAAAAACTTACAAGGTTGATGTCAATAATTAATTTTAACTACATATTTTGTGAGATTCACATTTTTTATCAACTTTTCAATCGAACATTTCATATACTAAATTTTTTATCAAAAACTTTGCCAAACAACCCCTAAATATGTAAGTTATATTTAATTTATGCCGTAGATTTTTCATTGTAATAAAAACGAGATGATAAAGCTGAGTCTTATCAATTATCACATACGAAAAGCCCACCCCCCCCCCCCACAACAGACATATATGTCATATGAACCTAGTGCATGGCCTAATATAATGAATTCCCACATTGTTTAAAGGTTCCATCAGAGTATAAGTGAACAATATAATTAGACTCAAACGTAAAACAAGATGCATACATACCTGGGAAGCTGAGAACGAGAACTCCTGCCAGGGAGAGCAGTTGCACCCTCATTATCTTACTGGAAATAAACTTATCTGGAAAATTGGCTAGTTGTTGGGTTGGAAACTAAAATTATGGCTTGTTAAAGTATGGAGGATTCAGTTTTCATTGGAAGTAAAAGAATCTGATTCCATATATGTGTATAGAAAAAAGCTTGAATTGAATCTGATGCCATTTAGGTAGAGAATCAAGAAAGGGTGACTTCTGGAAATAATTTGACACAGAAAAGCTTTTAACTCTACAACTCAATCATAAAACTTGATTTCAAATTGAACATGTGATTCCTTTCCTTGGTAATAATAAAACTTGAAGAGAAAATATCGGATGAAACTTTAAAAGTGTGTTAAATTGACATAGAAAATATATCCTAGAAAAGAAAATATTTTCTTGAATTTGAGTGGAAAATTGACATTTTCCATGAAAAATAAATGCAACTAAACACACCAACACACCCTAAGGGTTAATATTAAGGGTTATTATTAGGGACTAACGTTGTAGGGTTAACATTTTAACTCTGTGTAACGATCATAAGAGGCAGCATGAAGATTGAGAAAAAAATTATCCTATTGCAGAGCATAGCCAAAAAAGAACAAGGCAATAGAAGGCTAATTTTTTACCTGAAGAAGAAAATATTGCCTCAAAATTGCAAAAATGTTCTGAGAAAGAAATTATAATTATCTCATCAAGATTTACAATTGCTTTGCCTTAATTAACAACTCATATAACATATTCTAATTGATATGCTAAGGAGAATACAAGAGTTTCAAAAGATTTTCTTTGTTGAGCGGTTTGGTTAAAAAAGCATCTACTCCAGCCTCGACCATCATATTTATCTCTATTTCACCTCTTTCATGTGCAGTTAGTGCAATGATTTGTGTGTGAACGCCATAATTTCCTTCTACTTCTCTGATGCGCCGTGTTGCTTCTATCCCGTTCATCAATGGCATCTGCTATTAAATCAAGAGTGAAAACAAAACTGAAACAACACTACCAAAAACACGCCTACAGTAATGGATTTATGACAAGGAACTAAGCGTGTAAATGATGAATTTAATTTTGTCTTACTTTACCTCACAATCCATCAGGATATAATCAAAAGGTAGTGAAATCTTGGAAGCTCCAGTTATGTGTTGATCCTTGAGACCCTTGTATACTGCTTCAAGAGCTTGTTCCCCATTTATGCATGAAAATGTGTTTGCACCAAGCTGGGAAGCAAAAGATGTTGCTATTTTGCGCCCAATGGAATCATCATCTGCCACCAAGATTTTTTTCCCTGTCAATGGCTTTTTACTGCTCGTGTCCTCGCCCTTTTGTAATGGAAGACACTCTCCAGATAATTTCTTTGTCATAGCCCTATTCTGACTCATATCAGCTACTGCTGAATTTCGGGATTCATAATGAATTTGTCCAGGCTGAATATTTTTGGCATTGTATGCATTTTCCCCTCTTCTTCGTGCAAACTCAGGTGATAGTCTTGGACCTGGATACAATTTTCTTGGGACAACAAGTTCCTCGCCCTTCCGGCTAGGAGTATTTTCTGAGGACGATTTTCCAGCAATTTGCCTCGTGTGAGTCTTATTGGCTGCAGCTGAAGAGCTGTGTTCGGGTAGAAACTTATCAGAATTGTATGTGTTCTCTCCTCTTCTCAGTGGCATGTCCTGTATTGTGCCACCAAACTCCGGTAAAAGTCCTATAGTTTGTTTTAAACGGGAGCCATGCAGTGGCTTTGATATGATTAAATCCATTGCAGGTAGCTTATCCTCGTCAAGGCCCTGAAAATTTATGCAATTGGTGCCTGGTTTATCTAACCAAACCACCCTACTACAACAGCTGTTGCTTAGGTCTCTTCTGAATTCAGCCACAGCCCTACTGATATCACGAAATTGCCCAGCGCCTGTATCGATCACAATCAAAATGAAGCACGAAAAACTTCTAACACTATCCTGTCTTTGAAGGGGTAGAATATTATCTGTGCCATCTAGTGAACTAAGGGGCACATCCTTTGATCGGGTATTAGATGCCCTTAATGAATCAATATCAGATTTACCTGAAGAACATTGGTGGGAAAAGTTTAGTTTTTGTTTGATTCTCTTGAGAGTCTCAGAAAGTTGTTCGTGGTGATTGACCGCATAAGCTTTTATCCCCTGTCGTGCCATGAATTTCTGTATGATTTTACTCCTTTCGTTGCTCTGGATAAATATTACGACTTGAGATACTTCTGCCTTGGGGCTATTAATTCGATTAATGGACCCCGAATACTGATGACTCGATATGGAACTACCTTGAACTTCAATGTCTTCGTCTTGTGCATTACCAGACATGCCCATCTCAGTACAAGTGCTGAAGAAGGCGTTGAACCTAAAACAAGTACCCCTTTCCCCAGTTTCCTTGTCCACAATCCCGATTTCACCTCCCATTAGACGAACCTAAAATCAGAACATAAACGTAAACAATAAATAAATGAGCATTTAATTTCAAAGAAACTACAGTATGTTTTAAGATTTAACATACCAAAGACTGAACAATGCCAAGTCCTAAACCAGTTCCTTCTTGTCCAAGAGCTGTATCTTTGACTTGAATATAGTTTTCAAAAACAGATTTTTGCTTCTCTTTTGGAATCCCCCTCCCTGTATCATTCACCTCAAATATATATTCCTTACAATTTGGATCTTGTTGTATAGTATTCACCACTCCCGACTCACTGTGCGATTTTTCAGTAAGAAAAAACAAGCACAATATGCTGCTCATCCAGTTATTGTGATTAGAAGCAAGTATTTCATTCTTGAAACTCGGTTTCCTTGCCCAAGCACGAACTGTTACATGCCCATCTGAAGTATATTTGACAGCATTACTTAATAAGTTGCACAAAATCTGCTTCAATCTTCCACGATCACCTTTTACACGAGAAAAATTCTTAGTAACAAAGCCATCATTGGGATCCAAAACCACATCTACCCCCTTCTTCATACCAACAGGATAATACAAATCAACTACATCTTCTAGAAGTTGTTCCAAGTTAAATTCTTCTTCTTCAAGCTGCATTTTACCAGCTTCAATCTTACTTGCATCGAGAATGGAATTCAATATACCTGAAATAACAATTTTTTTAACTGAAATTGTTTTTAACCTACAATAAAGCTAGTATAGCTTAAAACACAAAAATACTTACAAAATTTCTTTATGGACAAACATAATTTAGTATTTACTTTTTTCACTAAGAAACCTACTATTTTAGAAACTCTAAAGTCTCAATTTACATTCTTCAAAATCATCTTTTTAGCTTAGCCAAACATGCTCAAAAAATATGCTTGAAATCGTACCAACCTAAGAGGTCCTTTGCACAAGCTTCGACGTGTATCAAATTTGTTTGCAATTCTGATCCCGGTACAACTTGATAGTTACATATTTCTATCAAACCAGTAAGGCCGGCTAAAGATGCACGTATATCGTGGCTAGCACTAGCCAATGCAAGACTCTTATTTACATTCTTCCTTTCAGCTTGTTCAGTCGATCCCTTTTGCCTTATCAGCGCAATACATAACTCCATCTCTCGTATTGCAGCTCGAACATTCAATGAAACAAAAGTGAATATGATGATGGCCACATCAACGAAGATGAGCATGAGTAGCACAAAGGCAAATTTTATGTTCTTGTGAATGACACGCGCTGCAGAGTTTTCTGGTAAAGCCAGCACATATACCTATATTTCAAATGAAATTTTAGCATCCCAAACATATACCTTCTTGTGTGTATGATTTAACTAAATGTATTCAAGATAATACATGAATATGTCTTATAAGGAAAATAACTTTTATACTTAAATTTAAGTAAATAATGAAACATACCAATTCCAGTCCAGCAATTTCAACTGGTGAACAGTTAATCACATACTTCTTTTCCCATATGCTTAATGTGGAGGCTCGAAATGTACCATCATTGGCCCGACACTTGACAATTCCAATAGTTACAACTTGATCACCATTAGTGCTTAGTAATTGAATTGAAACTTGATTTCCATTCAATATCACGCGAGTGTTTGGAATCTCTCCAGCGAGTACATTCCCATCTTTTGTTCCAAAATATAAGGTTCCATTATTGAAGGCTATGCCGGTGAAGAAATTAACCAATGATTTCACAGAAAATCCTAAAGACACTATCCCTTTTCCATTCACACTCGTCGTACTGAGAAATAGAGAATCTCTAGAAATTTCCCATTGGGATCCTGTGGAAGCATATCCATTTGTACCATTCAATGCTTCTTGATACCAACTTGAATTAACTAAATCGGAAGGGGGTAACTTTATTGATTCCCCATATAATTTTCCGGTCTCACGACTTGCAGCCTGCGTATACCAACTATACTTTGTTGTATCATTTCGGGTGGAAGAAAATGTAGAGTTGGAAAACATAGCAAATAGTTGATCGCCTCTCGTATAGTACCCGAAGAACAAACCATTTAACGAGATAAATGAAACCTGTGACAGGTTTGGAATTGTTGATAATGCTAGAAATAATGTAGACGCCACCTGCATAATTCAAACAACAACATTAAGCAAGATTTTAACTTTTTTAGTCACCAACCAAGTACTAAATTTGATAGATATATACCAACCTTGGATTCAATCTTTGAGAATTGAAGTTCATCTTGTTCCAACGATGAGCTTAAAGATCGTGCTAAATTGAGAGATGATGCATTGATTGAATCAAACAATGAGGCTGTGTTTTCAACTAATACGGATAGTAGTTGTAGATTGATGTTGTAGGGAATTAAATTCACTTCATTTTCAATTCTTGAAATCCTGGTCCAGAAGGGAATTATCAAACCAGGCAGCAACAGCACCATTAACATCTGCTTTAAGGTGTAAATAGAGCAATTTAATACATATTTCTAACAAAATTCATCTTAATGCTTGGACTTGTAAATTCAAAATTCTAACTAATATATAGAAGTGTTACCAGGATAATGAATAAACAAACTGGCTTCAACACTATGAACAAGTTTATGATCTTCATTTTAGACTTGATTTTCAATGGGTACCAATAGTCTGTCCTGCATCCCCACGGAAAACTTCTAAATTAACAAATTGTCGAGGCATAATAGCTACATATATTCCACAAAGAGAAATTATTTTCTGCATATATATTTGGCAAAAGATTGAACCCCAAAAATGAGTATTGCTACAAAAGAAATCAGTCATTTTATGACACAAAAATAATTGCTAAAGCCACTTATTTTCTAGGTTTTTAGGAACAAATAAAATTTAGGCTTAAAGCCACATCTTTTGTAGTGCTAGCTAATGTTTTATGAGCATATATACTTTTAGGGTCCGTTTGATTGCAAGGGTGGAAAAAGGGTGGAAAGAAAATGTTTTACAGGGAATTGATTTTCTTAGAAAATGTTTTACTGGGAATTGTAATTAATTGTGTTTGATTTGTATAATTTTTCATGGAAAATGTTGAAAATTTGGTGTCCATTTAACTTC